CTGATTATATACAAAGCTCCGTAGCACTATGCAGAAAAAAAAATAAGTAAGTAGGTATAGTGAAATAACCAAAAAGAAAGTATGGCCATGTCCAAACAATAGCTGTTCCTAAAATAAATAAAACCCTCTTTGCATTTGGTTACATGATTTTTATTAGAATGCTCTGCAGCATTTTATTTAGCAGCTTTTGCTTATTTTCTTTATTCAAATCTAGTATTCTTTTGATACTCTCCCTGCAGGAGCTAAAAGCCAACTGCTCAGCTACTATATACATAAAAAAGATTTGGCTGGTACTTTAATGACTCCACTTACTGTGTCTACATGGACTACCACACTTGCAATGGACTGGAGAAAACTTGGTAGCTGATATATATGGTCATCTACTGTCTCTGCCTCTGTGAGGTACATTTGCTTGCAGCGCTGAAGCAGCTCAACATACATGTAGTCAACGTCCTTAGAACGTATAGCTTTGCAGGGCTTATGGAGAGAAAACAAGACAATCATTTAGGGATTGTATACAAGCAAGTGAACACATGCTGCAACACTGAAAACCTAACCAAGTCATCACTGAACTATAATGTAAATAATCTTTTTTACATTTTCCAGGAACTCCACACATCTGAATAAATTTTCCATGTTTTAGAAGTAAGGTCTAAACTGCAAAGACACTGGATGACTTGACAAATACTTTAGCTATTCTGATCACTAGCACAGTATCTGCAGTGAACAAAAATAAAACCCAATGCAATAGATGCACTGTAATTTGCTACAAGAGTCCTTGAACTTTCAATCACAAAGTATTTCCAATTTCAAATCTGAGAAGTATGGAATTTCTCTGTAAATATCTTAAATATAGAATTAAAGATGCTATTATGCTCTTATTTCTTTAGGCAGTTTAGTCAAAAGACAAGTGGCTTACATTAATGCCATCCAGTTATCATTCACAGGCTACTACTACTAATATTTAGCAGGACCTTGGAGTACAAATTCTCAATCAAGCACATAAGGTTGGTGGTATGTAAATACTACCACTTTCTTTGTAATACTTTTATTTTAAGTGACTGCTGACAAAGTGGAAGCTGATTCTTGATTATGCTTCCTGACAATCTCTGTCCTCCACATAAGACCCTAGGTGCAGCTTTGTTTTTATAATTTTCAGTTGTTTGACAGATTACCTCCTAATGTTCTATAGCTAGCAGCCCATTTTTTTTCTATTCAGATTGCAATTTCTGCTTATATCTGGAAACATATGAAACACAGGAAACACATGAAACACAGGAAACATATGAAGGGCTTTCTGAGCAAAGCTGTCCTGGACTGCTGTCTACACTGCCACTGGTTTGCCACCTGGAATGCTAATGACAGACTGAGAAGTATATAGTCAGTATTTCAGTGATTAAGGGCATACTGAGGCTTTGTGGCAGCCGTATAAGGTGCCCCATTAGGCTCAGGAGGCATTTCAGTAACTCTGAAACACAACACGTTTTACAATGTAGCTGCTTAATTTCAATACTTCATCTGAAAACAGAAGCACTTCCTACATAAAAAACTATGTAAATTTGGAAAATGAACTGAGTGAATCCTAACTTCAAATCCATCCAGTATGCTGATTTATCACAGTAAGTGTCCAGTACGTACTGCTGCAAAAAGCCCATATCCACGAATGGCAATGGACAACTCCTTGTTGCTCGATTCCATTCTTCTGATGATTTCATAGAACTGCTCCATGAAGAACTGCAATTTGCTCTCATGCAGCTGAGCATCCTTAGCTACCATTAAAGAAATCTGTAGAGCAGATACAACTCAGGGCACATTTCAAAATTAACAGAAACATGCAAGTAACTCCCTCAACCCGCATTAATCTTAAAAAAAAAAATACATAGCTCATAATACAAAGCCTTTGAGGCAGAAAAAATACTTATTAAGCAGATTTGCTGAAATCCCAAAAACTAAATATCCCCACTATTTTGAGAAATCTAACACTGCCTTTATTTCAGAGGTCCCAGTGGAGTCACAATACCTGCTTAAGAAATGAATCTAAGGCAGAATGACCCGCTTTCTTCAGCTCCTGATTTGTATGGCCACACCATTTACATATTGTTTTAAAGAGTGAGACATAGTTGTCCAGGAGGAAGGTACCGAACTGAGCAGCATGCCGGCTGAACAACTGTAGACCAGCTGCAATTTAAAAATAAACCTCATTAAGATGCAGATTTGCTTCACTTTCAACTGACCAGGCAATATTAGCCTGACTGGAAGTTATAAAATATATTCTTCCAA